AGGATGGGTGCGTGAAGACTGGGTGATTAACCCTTTTAAAAGCAATGAGACAAAGGTGGTTCAGAACGTTTATTGTGAGATAGAGATATGAGCGTGGGCGGGTTGACCGTTCCCAACGCTTAGCAAAAGCAAGTATAAGTTGTAGGAATGGTGCTACAAGTAACATTCGACCCAGCACAAGCTTAATCCCACGCGCCCCGCCTCACTTGATAGCGGGGGGCAAGGCGCTTACGTTATAGTATGGGGTCGTCGACGACGACACCATGCATGATGATAGTGCGCCACTTCCCACTATACCGTCCCGCTCTTATAAATTTATTCATTCATTTATAATTAAGTGATAAACCATTTTCAGGGGCTCAAGTGTCAATCATGTCTGAAGCTTGCGCTCAGCGGTGTCAATTGTCCCATCTCATCGATAAAAGGTTCACTGGCACGGCGAGGGGTGTGGGAGGAACGCAAAAATTCGTCGGAAAGATCCACTGTTGTAGGTTTTGCTCTGTTTCTTGCGAAAAGTGTTCATGTTTTTTCATGAGCAACACTTAGGTCAGGTGAAAGTGATGGACCACTACTTCCCTTGCAATTTCGATGTGATGGCTGATCGAGAAATGGATCTACTCTTGGGACTGAACATCCTCAAACGACATCAGTGCAATATTAACCTCAAAACTAACATGTCAGCATTTCCTTTAGTATAACCGATTTGTCTTTCTTCTACTAGTTTCGTTTTCAGGCTGGAGATGGGTGACGGAACTATGACTCCATTCCTTTCCGATTCTGAAATTAACTCGCATTTGGATGATTTGGCATCATCGAGTGGGTTTGCTAACTGTCTCCCTATAATGTTTTATTTCTGTAGTTAGCAGCTCTGTTTTCATTTTTTTTAATCTCTCTTAATCGGTACCATGAGGAAGACAGTTTTTGATAACGGGCTCGCAGCGACGAATTTTTCCTATCTAAGCAATCGCTGAGAACGTAAGCAGATCGTAAAAATGGTGGGATTGGATTTTAATTCGAATCGATTTAGATCCATCAGATTTCGCAGTAGATGCGGACCTGTTGGCACAAGCGGTGAACTTGGGATTTTCGGAGGCCGAGGCCAAAGAAGCGTTGCAAATGACAAGGTTTGGAGGTTTCACGATTTCTACCTTACTTTCATTTGTGAACCGTTTATTTTAGGAATGATCTTGAAGCAGCGTTACAACAGCTGTTCTCCAAGGCAGATGAGCGTTCTCATGCTATGGAGCACTAATTTCAGTGTCTTTCATCATTACTGTAAAAGGTGTATGTAATGTTGTAATCGAACAGAAAGCCTTAATATTGTATGTAATTTATACTAGTCTTTGTCATTTGCCGTCACTCTTTCATAAAGAAATGCCACTTGGAATAGTTGAAATGAATCAGACTTGTGATGGCTTACTCATCAATCTCAGGTTCATGCCTTTACGTATCATACAGGTGTTGATATTGGTAAATAGACGCGCTCGACGAATTCTCCAAAAAAGCTAAGCATCTTTACCTATCCCATGGTATTAGAGAACAGTCATAAGGTGCAAATAAAATGCGCTTTTACTATGATTCCGAAAAGCAACTATTTAATTACGAAGGAGCGTTAGTGTGTCCCCATCCGCCACAGAACACTGACTCAGCCTTATCAGTTGAGAACAAGTGGAAATTCGTTTGGGGGCACTCTGACCATACCTGGAAAACGTTGGATGAAGAGCAGTCACGCTAAGGCTATAAGGGATGTCAAGCATCGTTCCGCGATTTTGCGAAAAGTAACATAGACCTGGGTTATCCCATTCAGCCCTGACTGTATTTCAAAGGACCAGTCGGGCCGCCCGGCTAACGCCGGGCTTCCCTCCTTCTTATGGTGACGCCCGGCTTCGCCGGGCGGTCCTTCTTCTTGTAAGAAATTTGCTATGCGTAACTAACTCTCCGGATTCTCCTTTTTCCTTGGAAGCTCTACACCCTCAGTACTAGCTAAGAATTGAGAGCAAGTTTTTCTGTAAGCCATCTTCGCTGTGTCCGGTAAGAACATCGTATAATATCACAAAGGCGATTATTCAGAGAAAAAAGGTAAGATGGCCAAGGTAGCGTACCTCCGCGAAATTTTCTTGCAATTGGAAT